GGCGCCTGGAGCTCAGTCCCTGCGCCGCAGTTCGCGAAGCTGTGTCCGTTCCCCGGGCTCCCGCGGAGGCCGCGTTCGAGGTCCCGGTCGCGATGGGTACAAAGGCGAAAGCCGCGAGGAGACACTTGCGCCTCTTCACGTTGGCCACCCTGTGTAAGCCCCCGGGTTTCGGGAGGAGTCGGCGGATCGGGTCGGAGGCTGGAGGGAGGCGCTCCCCACGCCAGGCGCCCGCGGGAGGGAGGAGTCCAGAAACCTGCCCTCCTCACCCTCCCAATTTTCTCTTCCATCCCTGGCTGGTCCCTCTGCTTTCTCCTCCCTCCCCCACACTGGTGAGTGGTGACCCACCCCTCACCTCGCTGGGAGGGAGCTGGCCCTTTGCGCACCCCGCGCCGGTGACGAGGGGGGCTGGCTCCACTCCACCCAGGGGAGGCCTGGAGGGCGCGAGGCCCCTTCCCACACACGCCCGCCCAGCCCCGCTTTGCACCCCCAGGAAGGGCCAGCCTGCCCCCCCAGCCCGCACCCAGCACCCACGAACCACCCAAGAGGCCGCGAGCCCTTCACCTCCTGGCTTCCCCGGCGGCTCCTTCAGGGTCCTCTCAGGGGATCTAATAGAGGTGGGCTGGGACGGGGGTCTGTCTCTCTGGCTTTTGCGGAGGCGTCTCCAGCTTCTCTGAACCGTTGGGTGGCTTGGGTGCCCTGGGAAGTGGCTGGGTGCGGAGTTTGAAGAGGTAGCGGACTTGAAATCTGAAAGTTCTCCGAGCTCAGACAGATTCTAGTAGTTACTTTCTGGAATGGCACTCAGGAGTCCTTAATACACAAATGTGGCCTGAGTGGTTTTTCCCGGGGGAGGATGTGCTGTTGGTTGGTTGTTTCTCCTGGAACCAGGACTCTGCCCTCCCCTTGGATGTGAGAGTTTTTTGTTTCCTGAACAGACTCCCTTTCCTGAACAATGGGGCTTACCTGCTGGGGCCTGCCTGTCTCGAGGTGTGTTTGTGTCGGCTGGTTTGGCGTTTGTCAACCTGTGTCAGCACCTGTGTGTTTATCTGCCTGATTCTCCGGTGGCTATACCTGTGCTGAGTGGGTAGTTGTGCCAGTATGTGTTCTACAGGGGCCCTTTTTTTCCTTTATAGCTTCATGTTTAGGAAAAGAAATGAATGATTACAATCAGTATCGTGTCATCTAAATTCATTTTGCTCAGTTTTTGAAGGGCGAATTTAAGTTTCCAGCTGTTAGATGGAGTGATCACTTCTCTGTTAGCACGAAAATAAGAACCTTTGGGTGGATTGGACCAGAGGCAGAGCTCACCCGCTTTCCATTGTACAGATAAGGAAATGCATACAAAGAGGGGAAATGACTTTTCCAGGCTGACAAGAGGGTTGGGGGAGGGACTGGGTGTGGAGCCACAGTCTCTGACGTGCTCTTCCTTTGTTCACTCCTGGACCAGTGTCTCCAGCACCGATGGACACTAGCTGTTGGGATGTGGCTTCAGATCCACTGGTCTACTTACCTTCAACATTTTGCTTTCCCACGGAGTTCTTCCTTCTCTCACCTCTCCCTTTCGTTCTGCTTGAGTCTTAGAACTGCTAGTGACACCCAGGTATTGTTTTTGGTACTCAGTCCTAGAGATTTTGCCAGCCTTTGTGCCAGTACTCTCCTCCCATACCCAGAAGTTTCTTCTGGGTCAATGGCTGTAATTGTTTCTGTCAGTGATAATGCTTGCCAGGTTTGTCACCTTCCCGGAGCCACTTTCTAACCAGCCCTCGCCTCCTTTTCTCTCTCCCCAATTCCCTATATTATTATGACAATCCTACGGAATCACATGGTGGCGCTGGAAGGGTGTTGATAGCACCATTTTGAGCTTGGAGTGTCTTCAGGGATCCAAGCAACAGTGGTTTAGGGGAGCCTGAGATGATGTTACATTAGCCTGGCAGGACAGTGGGTCCCGGGAGGTGACATGTCCAGAGGATGGAGGAACTGACTCTGTAACTTTTTTTTGTTTTCTTTTTTGGTTGGGGTTTCAATCTGTCACCCAGGCTGGAGTGCTGTGGCACCCTTATGGATCACCTCTGCCTCGACTTCTGTGCTCAGGCAGTTCTGCCTCAGCCTCCTGAGTAGCTGGGACTACAGTTGCCCACTACCACGCCTGGTTCTTTTTTATTTATCTGTAGAGATGAGGTCTTGCTGTGTTGCCCAGGATAGCCTTGAACTCCTGTGCCGGAGTGATCCTCCTGCCTCAGCCTCCCCAAAGCTGGGATTACAGGCCCCGGTGACTTTGTAGCTTTTAAATCAGGTTATGGGTGGGGGTGGGAGTGGGGGTTGGAAGCAGAGAAGGATTTTTAAGTGCAAATGAGGATGGAAATCGGCGCAGGCCACCTCCCACCCCTGGCTCTAGCTTGACTTCCTCTCTGCCTTGTTTGTGGTCTTAGGCTTTTGGCTCAGTCTTTTCATCTGTAAAACAGAAGTGGCAATCCTTGTCCTGTCCTTGTCTTGAGAATCTACTGGGATACATTACATTTACATGAAGGGATTAATGTGGGCAGCTGTTATGCCCCTCAGGTTCTGTGAGAAAGAAAGAATGCCAGAATGTTGTCCCCAGAAGAGTAGGTCAGAGGAAGCAGGGCGATTCCAAATGGGTGAGAGTCAAAACGTAGGGGCTTTTCCTGGGTGTCCCGTCTGTCTGGTACCCTGGGAGGCATGTGTGGGTTGCCGTGTGTTCTCCTCCTTCCCCCAGGGCTGCTCCTCACTGTGGGTACTGTGATCAGGGAGAAAGGACAAAGGGCGGACATGTCAAGCCAAAGCCCAATCCCAGCATGGCATCGAATGGAGAGGAAGGCCTGACCCTGCTGGGGAGGGATCCTGGGCTAGACACTGGGAGAGCCGGGCTTGTGCACAGAAAAACTTGGGGCCCGGAGTACAGCCTCCCTTTCCCTGGAGAACCTGTGCTTGGAAAGGTTCAGTCATCTCCCAGGGAGGGGCACGGTTGAGGGTGGATAGGCTGTCTGGCACTGTAACCTTTGGGAGAAAGGGAAACCTGGTGGGAAGGCTGGCCTTTGGTCCTCTCCCCCGACTGAGTGTAGTATCACTCAGTCAGGTACCGGGGCGTTCCGGGAGGGTGGAACTGCTGCCCTGTCGGTCTCTTGAGTCTCGGGTTCCTACTGAGAGGTTTCTGACTCAAGCCTTTTTCTAACTTTGCTATTCAGGGGCAGACTTATCTCAAAACTCTAGGTTGGCAGTGAGTCACTCCTTCTTACCCCTCCCTCTGCTCCCAGGAAAGAACTGCTCCCTCCGAAGTAGAAACTTCGGTGGTGACTGGCAACACCCAGTGAGTGGCAGTGGAATTCCAGTGCCTGCTGGTCATCATGTCCCCCCCCACACACACACACTTTCACCTCATGATGCATCTCTTCAGTTCTTTTTCCTGTCTGAGGTCTCCAGCCAGTTCTGACTTGGTGTACAGCTGCTGTAATTTAAAAATTATTTATTTACAATAGGATAGTTGGCAAAGTTTGAGAATCAAAATGCTATCAGAGGGGTGGGGCACCTCCTTCCCATCTTGCTCCCGTTCACTCCATGCCCCTATAGTTTTTTTCTTCCTTTTTAAAAATTTTTTTGAGTTGGAGTCTCACTGTGTCACCCAGACTGGACCCCACAGCCTTGACCTGCTGGGTTCAGGTGATTCTTCTGCCTCAGTCTTCCAAGTAGCTGGAACTACAGGTGTGCACCACCATGTCTGGCTATATATATATTTTTTTATTGTAGAGATGAGGTTTTGCCAAGTTGCCCAGGCTGGTCTCGAACCCCCGGACTCAAAGTGCTGGGATCACAGGCATGGACCACCATGACTGGGCAACTTGACGAGACCTCATCTCTACAATAAATCAAAAAATTAGCCAGGCGTGGTTAGCGTGCACCTGCAGTTCCAGCTACTTGGAAGGTTGAGGTGGAAGGGTTGCTGGAGCCCAGCAGGTCGAGGCTGCGGTGGCCGGGAGCGGCCACTGCACTCCAGTCTGGGCAACAGAGTGAGACTCCCAACTCAAAAAAAAAAAAAAAAGAAGTGATGGGGCTTGTTTTTCATAGCTGTCGGCTGGGGCTCTCAACTCAAAACTGCTTCCTTTTTCAGAGGTTCAGGAAAAACGCGGATAACCAGGTATCAAATGTAATTGAGGACCAGGAGTCAGTACTGTGATGTGTTGTGGGAAGCAGGGCGATTGGGTTTTCCTGGCACTTAAACCCAGAGTTCATCTGTCTGGACTCCCTGATAAGCAGGGTTTCTGTCTAAAGTCCACTTGTGTCCCTTGTTTTACAATGTGGGGGTGGGGACAGGAGGAAGCCACTGGCTGGCAGGAAGTTTGATGTCAGGCCCCTGGAGTGCATCCTGGGTAGGCGGGTGGGCAGGACCTTCCCTTGCTGTGGGGACAGGGGAGTGGGGAGGGGAGCTGAGCCGGTAGAACTGGAAATGCTTCTGAGAGAGGGCAGGAGGGAGTGAAAGCACTCCTGTCTCAGCCCGTTGCCACTGCTGCCATCCTTGGAGGGGCGGACCAAGCCAGCTGGTCAACGTCACTGAAAGTGCAGCCAAGGTTGGCTGTTAGACATAGCCCAGCCTGTTGTTGGACTCACAAGCCTTCCTCTTGCCCCCGCATTCTTTATCTGTTCCACTCCAACTTCCAGCAAGGACCTGCCAGCTGTGGAACTTCCTTGGCCCTGGTAGGAATTCCTGGTCCTTCCTGAGAGGCCAATCCTTGCAGGAGCTGGCTTGGTCTCTGCAGGATAGGTGGTGGGGGAGAAAAGGGCACACTGGGGTGGAAGCCTTCGGTCCAGGTTCTAGTTCTAGTTGTCTTGCAATGTAAAATGGATCTGTTAATCCAACAAACATTGCAGTTTACTCTATCCTGAGCACTGTGCTAGAGATTAGGGGGCAAAAGTGAAGGTAAACTGGGTTCACTTTAGCTGGTGGCTTTAGAAAGCTCCTGTTCAATCAGGTGCAGTAGCTAATGCCTATAATCCCAGCACTTTGGGAGGCCGAGGTGAGATGATTGCCTGAGCCCGTGGGTTTGAGACCAGCCTGGACAACTTGGCGAGACCTCATCTCTACAATAAATAAAAAAATTAGCCAGCCATGGTGGCGTGTGTCCATAGTTCCAGCTACTTGGAAG